CACACATTTCACATCCCCCCCCACACACATACACACAATTGACAGACCCCCCCTCCCTTCTCCACATTTTATCTCCTCAAACCCTAGAAAAGTCGACCAAGTGATGTGTGAGTTGCAATTGAAAGCCGATAGCCCTCGCAACTAGTTAGATAGATCATAACGCTATTCAATAACAACAATGTTTTAGGGTGGTAGGTTAGCAGGGTGGCAGGTTGGCAGTTGGGCATTCAAACATTGTGTAAGTAACTTAATGCAGCTTCGTGTCTGTCCAAAAAAGCAGAATGAAATCAACTTTTTTGTTTTTGTTTTTTTTGTTTGTTTGTTTGTTTGTTTGTTCACACTTATCCACAGTTAGCCACGCTTAGCCACAGCTGGCCGCAGTTAGCCACAGAATTAATACATCCACTCATCCACAATATTAGTCGAATCTGGCAATTTAAATATATATATTTGTTTAATGATTTCTTTTTTTCACGCTGAAAATAATTTCTACATAGTGCAGGTTAAAGAGACATTTTTTTTTATTCGATAAGACCCGGGTCAAAAGGACCTTATGATACTCCCACTCACTTTTTGCAATTTTTCCCGGTGAAAGAGCGTGGGAATAAAAATCTGGGCCACGGAAAACCAAAACAAGTAAGATTGACTTTTACTCCGCATGTCCTTCGACTGCTTTTGAGAGTTAGCACCGGAACTGGCATCGTCTAGGACCAATGGCATACTCCAGTTGTTGGCAGCCTTGGGCATTTCGGGTTGGTTGGGGGGGGGGGGTTGCTAATGATTTGTTCAATGAGTGCTTATTATGGCTTGTGGTTAGTGAGTTTCAGGGAGAGAGAGAGAGAGTGGAAGGAAGAAGGCACGCTGTTTGTTGAATAAAGTACCATAGCATGTAGTATAGGATTGGATTCGTTTACTAGACTTACCCCTAGGCTTAAAGAAGCCATTATACTGCATATCCACCGAGCAGTTCGGAATAGGTATCCTGAGTCTGTCGTGTAAATGAAATGATGACATTTCAAAAGTTTACCACAGAGTTAGTTGAGAAATTTTGACAGCTCAGTTACACATGGGCAATGATTTAATTCATTTCACTCTTCATCCCTTAATTTCCACAACTTTTAAAAAAAATAATCTGGAGTTCGGAATTATATTTAAAAAAAAAAAAAAGGCTTTGACAACTTCACAAGTCGATATGAAACAACGATTTCACCTCTGAAAGCCGGATTTCATGTCAATGCCCCTGAGAAAGGTCTCCAACTGTACCTATTACAAAGGACGAAGGAGGAAAACAAAGTGTAACATTATGTTTGTAAGAAGAAAGAAATTCTTTAAAATTCATTTGGTTTTCTTTATATCCCCGTGGCCTTTGACCTTTCCCACAAAGGCCCCCGTTGAGTTGAACTGTACTGGGGCATTCGTGAAAACCATGTGCGAAAACAATTTTTCAACGGAGTAAGGGAACTGCCTTGGGTTAGTCATGTGTCAACAAAATATTTTGCTGGACGATGCAGGACTTTAAACAAAATTTGCCAGAAAGCGATGCAACTACAACACAGTCGGACGCTGATGTGTCACTGTTCATGGTACTTGAATACATGTTGTGACAGCGAGTAGGCAATGAAAATCAGGTGGTGCTAGAGTGGAAGTGGCGACGCAATCCGAGCAATGTTCTTCCTTATTTATTAACATCGGCGTGTAATTTGAGCTGGTGGGAAAAAAAGATATTCATGTCATATTCTGGACTAAAGGATTACCATTTTTTCTAATATGTAGTATGGATAGCGTTGGTGCTGATGTTTTGCTTCGACACTGTCTTATTGTTGTGTGTTGGGGTTAGATAAGTACAGTGAGGGAGGGATATGGTATAAGCCATTGTTCAGAAGCCCCAACTGTTTGGTGTTGAGTTTAAATATCACGCGTGGTGCTAGATCAGATTATATTCGGAGTAGAGAAGCACCTCTATCTAACTGTTGCTTACGGTAGGGATGCTAGTTCAGATCACATGATTTTGGATAAAATAAAATCTGTTACTTCCAATGACTACATATCGCTTGTTAAAATGTCAAGCTTGTGACATGGGATATTTATTTGTTTGAAAAGCACGATACTAAGATTCTCTGTTCCATGAAGCATCCCAAAGAGAGTGCAGGTGAAGAAATTAGTTTTTTTTGTTTTGTTGAAAAATAATGTTTATGGTTAGTGAAGTATTTGAAAAATGTGTTAGTGTCTGGTTGTTGTATCTTCTTGAGAAACTCCAGCCAGGCGTGAGTAATTATGTCTCTCGTGTATGTGTTCTGTAAATACTGTGTGTATGTGTTCTGTAAATACTGTGTGTGCATTCTGTAAATACTGTGTGTGTGTGTGTTATGTAAATGCTGTGTATGTTCTGTAAATACTGTGTGTGTGTTCTGTAAATACGATGTGTGTCGTCTGTAAATACTATGTATGTGTTCTGTAAATACTGTGTATGTGTTCTGTAAATACTGTGTATGTGTTCTGTAAATACTGTGTGTATATTCTGTAAATACTCTGTGTGTGTTCTGTAAATACTGTGTATGTGTTCTGTAAATACTGTGTGTGTATTCTGTAAATACGATGTGTGTCGTCTGTAAATACTATGTATGTGTTCTGTAAATACTGTGTATGTGTTCTGTAAATACTGTGTATGTGTTCTGTAAATACTGTGTGTATATTCTGTAAATACTCTGTGTGTGTTCTGTAAATACTGTGCATGTGTTCCGTAAATACTGTAAGGACAGACTTGAAGCTATTACATAATCAGGAGTTATTACTTGCTCTCATTACATTGTAAAGCATTCGCTCAACTAGTGCCAACGTTTGATAGCAACCTTGTCGCGCTGGGCTAAATGTTAAATATTAAAAAGTAAAGACTTCTATAAGATGAATAATTCAGAAAATAGTCATGCCGATCCAATCATGCCGCAATTAATTCAGTAAAGGTCAATGACAAGTGCATAACACATCGTTAAAGAAAGAAAGGCAACTCTTTCCAGAACATTTATATTTCTAGGAGTTAATTGAGCAAAATTTGATCTTTCATGGGCAAAAACAAATCCTGTTTTCTCATACGCACACACAACCCTGTGTTTCATACGCACAAACAAACATGTGTTTCATACGCACACACAACCCTGTGTTTCATACGCACAAACAACCCTGTGTTTCATACGCACAAACAACCCTGTGTTTCATACGCACACACAACCCTGTGTTTCATACGCACAAACAAACATGTATTTCATACGCACACACAACCCTGTGTTTCATACGCACAAACAAACATGTGTTTCATACGCACACACAACCCTGTGTTTCATACGCACAAAAAACCCTGTGTTTCATACGCACACACAACCCTGTGTTTGATATATAATTTCCACTGAAAATTGTGATTTAAAACTCCGCACTAAAAAACCCATCAATGATGTTGGTGCTAAGCAGCATTTGAAGCTACGAGCTACCCAAAAAGAAATACAATCCTGTTCCAATCCTCAGAGTATTTGAATCTCTCTGTCTAGGAAACAAAACGAGCTACCCAAAAAGAAATACAATCCTGTTCCAATCCTCAGAGTATTTGAATCTCTCTGTCTAGGAAACAAACGACCAACTTTTTTTTTTTTTTTTTTTTTTTTAAACTACCGAATCGCTTCGCTACTGAGACATCCAAGAGAAAAGATGAAGACCAGATCTAGGCTGGTGCTCAATTCTCTCTTCATTGCGACCCTTATCTGTCAGTGTCGAACCTGGGCTCTGAATAAAAGTCTCGAGATAAAAAATATGTTTACCTGCGAGAGGAGATTTCTCAAGAGAGCTGCTGGTAAATCAAAGAGGGCCACATTCGGAACACTGAAATAAGACAAACGGTTGAAGCCAGCGCAGCCAGCCAGGTTATGGCCCAACAACAAATTAATTTTTTCGACCATCTGGCCAGAATACCTTTCAATCAACCTGCATTGTAAGCTTGAAATATCAGGCACTCCGGTTTCATAGATTAGGAAGAACACGCCGTCCGTGTATTGAATGTGTTTGAGACACCAATTTTGTTTTTAATCCACAAAATGTACCTGCAGCCTTCTTACGGCAATCCGTCAACTAAAATCTCCCCACTAGAGCTCGAAATGACGCCTCACAATGACGCCTCCCTGTGGCGCCTCCCTGCGACGGCTCCCAATGGAGCCTCCCCGTGACGCCTCACAATGACACCTCCCAATGAGGCTTCTCCGCGACGCCACCCAATGACGCCTCTCCGTGACGCCTCCCAATGACGCCTCCTCACGACGCACCCCGGGTAAAGGCGAACAGAAGCAGCTGATGAATGAAAAATTCGTGTAAAGCTCTTGAATGTGAACTTATTAGGACATCCTTTTGTGTAAAAATGCCCCCCCACCCACCACATTCACCATCCCTCCCAGTCAACCCAATCTCAGCCATCTCTACTCCAGTCATCCCCACCTCAGTCATCCCCAACCCAAGTCACTCCCACCACCCGTCACACCCAACCCATTCACCTCCCCCTTCTTTACAAGTCTCACACTAGATATTAACAGATCTTGTTTTTGCTGATACTAACTTGCTCTAGTGCAGTGGATTCCCAACCCTTTTCGGTCTTTTCCCTGGTGCAGCCCCTAATTCTTACCGATGTCTTAATAGTTCACGCCGTTCAGGAGTTTCCTGGAGAGGCCGTGGAGCCTCTGAGGAGTCCACGCTGTACCCTTCGGGCTCCTCGGAGCACATGTTGGAAACCGCTGCTCTAGTGTACAGACGAGCTCCTTGAAACCCCATCTCGGATACGCCCCTATTTTTAATCTTAATACTAAACATGAAAATTATACCCACACAAAAACAAAAAAGACATGTCGCCAACTTAGCTAACACAATTTTTTTACGGACAGCTCTCTTTTTCAAATAAAATTTTCGAGTGGAACAATTGTTTTCAAGTGGTCGTCACCTAGCCCCATTTAATGCTGTAAACTATTACTCACGGAACAGATAATACTACTAATAATGAAAGTAATGGCATCATCCATGTAACACGCGCAGTGGGATCGTAGCTGTTGCTGTTGTTGTAGCTGTTGCTGTTGTTGTTTTGGAACGGAGCTTGAGCCACATCCCAGCTCTGACTCAAGCCGTAGATTTGACGTCATAATGGCGACCAAGTGCTGGCTGTCGTAACGGGCCAACACTTAAAAACCAAGCCACTTTGGTTATCCAGTAACTCTTGCTCGCCTTGTCTCCAGTACACCACCGTGTTGTCAGGGTAAACCGTGCAAGAGAGAAACAATGAGTTGGAGAATAGCTGGCTGCATATTTTTGACATGTGAGTTTCAATTCATTTTTTTTTAAATCAACATTTCTAGGAGTCGTTGTGTAATTCATGTTTCCTTGTGCAGACCATGTTCTTTACAAACATTTCACCTGATATTATTATAGACGATGCTAGAGACCACCGCACTCACTTGATCCGATGTGTCATCATGGCATAACGCGGCTTCTCTGCTAAATGCAAAGTGCAGCGATTAAAGTTTTTCACACAAGACTCGCGTGTAAGAAGACATAAAAGCAAAATACAAATACATTTAAAATAATCGATAACAAACGCAAAGTTTTTCTTTTAATTAAGCGTTTACAAAGTTATCACTTTATGGGGCATTAATTTCATAAAGCCTCTTGTAAGCTTTTTTGTCAGTTTATAATTTTTTTTCAATCCATTGTGGAAGCTGGCAAAACTACCCCGTTAATTACCCCCACAATTAAAGGAATCGCAAGAGTATGAAGTCGGAATTGTACTAATATTAATGTTGTGTGATGGTGTTTGACCGTCTCACTGGTATGCGGTAAGAAACTTAGAGATATCCACTATTGACAGTAAGAACACTGCCAATAACTTCCGTCTCACTGGTATGCGGTAAGACACTTAGAGATATCCACTATTGACAGTAAGAACACTGCCAATAACTTCCGTCTCACTGGTATGCGGTAAGACACTTAGAGATATCCACTATTGACAGTAAGAACACTGCCAATAACTTCCGTCTCACTGGTATGCGGTAAGACACTTAGAGATATCCACTATTGACAGTAAGAACACTGCCAATAACTTCCGTCTCACTGGTATGCGGTAAGACACTTAGAGATATCCACTATTGACAGTAAGAACACTGCCAATAACTTCCGTCTCACTTTTTTTTTTTTTTATTTTTTTTTTTTTTTTTTTTTTTTTAGTTTTCGTATTAATGATTACTGTCATATTTTCGTATCAAGATATTAATGCGAAAACTTTTTTTGAACGGAATTTTGTTCTAACGGAAATAATGGGGTTGGGGGTGGTGAGAATGACAAAAAAGTTGTATTAAAACGCTTACATTTTCCTCATTTCTCACTCAAAACTACCCTTAAGAAAACATTTTTTTTTAAAAACTCATTTGAACAAATTGTATTTCCACTCACTTCCTTTTGCACAACATTCCTTCCTACAACTTGGCTTCGAAAAACTTCGTTTCCTTTACATTTCCTTTCACCCATATTCTTATATTTTGATACGCCGCTCATGAAAAGAGCCATAGATCAAGTAAACGGAAGTCTTTTCAATTTAGCTCCGTCTTCAAGTCATAGTCATAGATTAAATTTGATGTTAAAATTATTTCATTCGTAAAAAAAATTGCGTTCCCAATTTTAAAATATTCAAAATTCTTAAATTCTACCGACTTGCATCCGATTCCCCTTGCACTTCCCTTCCCAATCTTGTAACTCCGTGAACGTATAAATATTTGTATTCTCATCTCTTCCCACACAGTAATCCACCTACAAGTCGCCGCAACATGCAAAGTTTACCAAATTCAAAGTTGCCGGTACTTCGAAAGAATATCAGTTACCCAGTTCGGCGCCTTTATCCCCGAGGAATCGCACATGCAAATTTGCAGGTGAGTTGTATTTATTTTCTGTCGCCGCCAAGGATGTTAGTGAGTAAATATATGGGGGGGGGGGCAGTAAATGAATACTTATGAGAGTTCAACAGAACCCTGAAGTGTTCATTAAAACTGCTTTTATCATTTAGACGCGTTGGTTATTTGGTTACAGTGAGCTCAACAGTGGCCCGAGATGTGCTTTAGAAATTGCTCTTTTCATTTAGAACCAGTGATTCCTAAAGTGGTCTATATCGACCCCCAGGGGTTGACGACAACTTGCATGGGGTCCGTGTCAGGGGGTCCGTGTCAGGGGGTCCATGAAATGAAAATGGGGGTCAGCGATAGATGACCTCATGTAAGCAGGTCGTGACTTCTATTTTGGCATTCCATGAATGGAATAATCCACATACACGGATAGTACCTATTTACTTACATCATATTGCTTTATAATATAAACACATATATCTTCCTACATAAATTATACAAGTAACTGTGAATTTAACATTTCAAAAACATAAATGTTCCTCAAACGTGATGAAGAATCATATTAAAACTTAAGTTATTAGGTATATTTTCTGATATATGAAACTGTTTAAGAATTACTATTATTATGAACTAGCAGTTTCCCGCAGCTCCGACTTCATACTAAAAGCATTTATTTTATTGTTTTTTTGCTTAGTTATTTTATGTAAAAGAAAGTAAATGTTAATTTGGTTAGTTTTAATTTGAATCTAATTTATAAATGTATAAAATTTAACATTTAAAAAAAAAAAAAAGTTTTTCACACTTCACTTCACTACTGTTATGAATTTAAATCTTTCAAAGTGAGTAGCTCTATATACCGGCTGTCAAAAATACAATTGAAGTTAATGAATTTGCAAAAAAAAAATCAATATCAGGTAAGCAGGGGGTCTACCCAAAAGCAAAAAACATGGCAAGTGATCTGCGAGACAAATACGTCTGGGGACCTCTGATTTAGACGTTTGCTAATTTGGTTACAGTCAGCTCATCAGTGCCATGAGGTGTTCATTAAAATTGCTCTTATCATTTGGACGTGTTGCCATTTTGTTTACAGTGAGCTCAACAGTGCCCTCAGATGTGCCTTAGATGCCCAATACACAACGGGGTGCAGCGATGACGCGAGGATACCGTATCAGTCTCAGTACAACGTCATGAAGGCGGTCTGCACAGACAGGAAGCAAGGTAACGCCAGCTTGTCTACGGGTGGTCATTCTTTGAAAAGGGGGCAAGAGGGTGGGCGTCGGGGCAGTAGAGAGTGACCAAAGTTAGTGTCAGCACGTGTGGTAAACTGACGGTGTCACCCCCCGCCCTTCCAAACAAACACACACACAATTCCCATGAACCTGTATGAATCATCGTGTACCTGACATACAGTACCATCTAACAGCCTATCACAGTGTTTCTTTGTAAGATTTAGATTCAGATTTTTAAAATTATATTTAAACTAGTTGGAAATAATTAATTGTGATTACATTGCACATCTTTATTTTCGGCCTATTAGATAAAATCTTAAACAGGTTGGGGGAAGGGGGGGGTGGAGCTTTGATCTTAATAAATTAACCGCTTTAAACCAGGTCTTTAAAGAAAAGAATGTAGCTTGAGCATGGGCGCCCGAAGTGCCCCCCCCCCTTACCTGGATTGATTGGATAAAAATTTTTTAGACAAAAATAGACAAAAAATGTATTAAAGTAAAGAGAAAATAAAGAGAAAGTAACTAAGCTGATGTCCTGTCCGTTCGTTCACCAGACAAATACGCTACAGTACATTAAAGCTATATTAAAACATTACTAAAAATTTTTTGCCTTTTCCCCGAAAATTTAATGCATTATTTATAGACTTCTCCCCAAAATCAAACTGCAATATTCACATAATTTTCTAAAATTTTTTGCCTCCCCCCCGGAAAGTTAATCGATTTTTTGTCCCCCCCCCCCCTAGAAACTTTTGTGCGGGCGCCCATGAGCTTGAGGGAGCAGCGTTTAAGTACTGGGAACACAAAACTACCTTTTCTTTTAAAATGAAACATAAAATGTTTTGTTGTTTGTTTTTTGGGTTTTTTTGGTGCTTTTTTTAAATTTCATTGTGATGAAACTGCACTCTCGTAAATCGCCTCATCCTATTCGGCCGTCTTTTCATTGATGCTTTTAATCCTATAAAATCTGCAAGATTGTTTAAGCCAGAACTCCACAGCTGGAGTAACAATTATTTCTTGCGATCTCCAGTTTTTGAAAAGTTTCTCCCAAGTTAACGCACAAACAGATTGCGGGCTATGATTGTACGAGGATTACGGGGAAATTATTAAATCTTTGTTTCAGTCGATTCTATCGGAAGCGTTCATGCGGTGCCCCATTCTCGGTATAGTATTTCCATTACAATCTTACTGATTTGGATAACTCATCATAGAGATTGGTCAACTTCGGTATGGGCATCATTAACGATGGCTCGGTGACTGACAGTAGACTCTTGGCTTTGAAAGCGTCAAAGATATCTGCCACTCATAGTTTGCTCTTGTTGTGATCAATGATATCTGCTACTCATAGTTGGCTCTTGTTGTGATCAATGATATCTGCTACTCATAGTTGGCTCTTGTTGTGATCAATGATATCTGCCGCTCATAGTTGGCTCTTGTTGTGGTCAATGATATCTGCTACTCATAGTTGGCTCTTGTTGTGATCAATGATATCTACTACTCATAGTTGGACTTTGTTGTGATCAAAGATATCTGCTACTCATAGTTGGCTCTTGTTGTGATCAATGATATCTGCCGCTCATAGTTGGCTCTTGTTGTGATCAATGATATCTGCTACTCATAGTTGGCTCTTGTTGTGATCAATGATATCTACTACTCATAGTTGGACTTTGTTGTGATCAAAGATATCTGCTACTCATAGTTGGCTCTTGTTGTGATCAATGATATGTGCTACTCATAGTTGGCTCTTGTTGTGATCAATGATATCTGCTACTCATAGTTGGCTCTTGTTGTGATCAATGATATCTGCTACTCATAGTTGGCTCTTGTTGTGATCAATGATATCTGCTACTCATAGTTGGATCTTTTTGTGATCAAAGATATCTGCTGATTCCTCGGTGGCCCTTGATCTGGTCTGTATGTAGTTCATCGAAAAAAAAAATATCAACCTGCTTAACTCTCTATTTTTCCTTTTTATTCTTGCACAATGATTCCAAGTCTTAGTCCACGAACTAAGTATACATTTATTTTTAAAATTTGTTGAAGTGTTTTATTATCACAAGTTCTTAATTGAGAATGGTTACATGTCAGAATAGTCTATTCATATAACAATAGAACTTGTTATATCTGTATATCATTGTATCATCTTAATTTTGTAATATTTTATTTTGTACACAAATGTTCATCTGATACATTTATCGGATGAATGTTGGACAACATTTCACATGTGATCAAATATGGGGCAGTGGTTTTCGTGGATAACATTTATTGCAAATGAAGTGCAAATGGGTCTTTGTTAATTCTTGTCATTATATTTCCAGATTACTTCAACAGCACAAGCTGTTTCTTCAGTAAAAATCTGAAGATGGACATAGAGCAATGTTTAAATATAGCCTCTTACATGATGGAAGGGGACGACATTTGCGAGTAAGTTTTTTGTGGGTTTTTTTTTTATGAAAGTTATATAAATGTTGCATTGTTGTTTTTTTTGTTTTTTTGTGATCCATGGTCAACATAAGATAAACAATAGGAGGGCGCCATGGGATAACCAAGAGGTGGGAACCATAAGATAACCAACAGGAGGGCGCCATAAGATAACCAACAGGAGGGCGCCATAAGATAACCAACAGGAGGGCACCATAAGATAACCAACAGGAGGGCGCGATAAGACACAAAAACAGGAGGACACCATAAGACCAACAAAAACAGGAGGACGCCATAAGACAACAAACAGAAGGGCACCATAAGATAACCAACAGGAGGGCGCCATAAGATAACCAACAGGAGGGCACGATAAGACAAAAAAAAAACAGGAGGACGCCATAAGACAACAAATAGGAGGGCACCATAAGATAACCAACAGGAGGGCGCCATAAGATAACCAACAGGAGGGCACGATAAGACAAAAAAAAAACAGGAGGACGCCATAAGACAACCAACAGTAGGGTGCTACAAGATAACCAACAGGAGGGCGCCATAAGATAACAAACAGGAGGATGCCATAAAATGACAAACAGGAGGGCGCCATAAGATAACCAACAGGAGGGAGCCATTAGATAACAAAAAGAAGTGTGCAGAAAGACAACTAACAGGAGTGCGCCATAAGATAACCAACAGGAGGGCGCCATAAGACAACAAACAGGAGGGCGCCAAAAGATAACCGACAGGAGGGCGCCATAAGATAACCAGCAGGACGGTGCAGAAAGGTAACCAAAAGGAGGGCGCCATAAGATAACCAACAGGAGGGCGCGCTTAAGATAACCAACAGGAGGGCGCCATATTTCAACTTGAAACATTCCAGGAATGTAATCCGATCTCCTCATATTGTCACCTGTCCCCCCCCCCTCCGCCCCCAGGCTCTTGAAGTTTTCGATTCGATCATTTTGACCATTTGTTAACAAACAACGTCAATCAATTTAATTATTTTTTTACAATTATCTTCACGTCCAACAGGAAGATTGAAGAAACCCGAGACTGTGTTTATAAAACGTTTCAAGAGAGGCAAGGGACGTGCAGCGAGACCAGCAAACTCCTCATGGGGAAGCTCGTGGCTCTCTATTTGAAGCCAAGAGGACACACATGCACGGTGGAATTCAGGGGTAAGGCAATGCTCTATCTTGTCTCAATTGAGATGCGTTGTAGGTCAAAGAAAACGATTTTAGTTTCCTGGCTGCATCCGTTCTCACTTGGGAGGTTTTTGTGTGGTTTTGTTCTTTATAAAGACAACGTCATGACTTATTAAATTGAACTCCACCCTTTCCATGGAATGCTGATGAACATACAGCATAAGAGCGTAGCTGTGGTTTGTGCCGCCCGGGGCTGGCCATGATTTTTCCGTATATAAATCCTTTATAAAATGTAATATCGAGCAAAGGGGGTTGGGGCCGAATTTTTTTTTTTTAAACATGCATACAAGTAACGCACTTTATAAGAATCCCAATAAGTGCGCCCCCCCCCCCCTCCCCCCTCAGGCTCGCAACAGCACATTTTTTCACGCCCTTGACCTATATTAATATTCTAATGACCCATCCGCTTTAACACCGCAGATTTATTTCGCCAACTATTTAAAAAAAAAGAAAAGGTTGACAGATATTGGGTCAAACAGCAGTCCGAAACTGTTGCCAGCCAGTCACCCAGAAACAAAAGCGAAGTTACTTTAAGGATTTAAAGAGAAATTGTCTGTGTATAATTTTGTAAGCGGTTGCAAAAGGGAATTTACCCATAACACAACGAAACTGGGACGTAGCTTCCATTGGAAATTAAAGACATTGAAAAGAGTGAGCAGTCATAACGTGCGCTATGTATAGCGATCAAAACAAACTAACCTGCGGGTAGTTCAGCTTTTTTCTGTATGTAAATATTTTGATTGTTTATATTACTTTTTTTTTTAAATGTTTACGAGGCGTTTGGAACCAATCTTCCTTGTCGGTATAAAAGAAAATTGTGGGAGTAATTTTTCGGTTCGGGTTTTTTTGTTGTTTTTTTTCGATGCAAAATCTTTTTTTCAAAATTAATTCTTTATTCTTCAGGTAGCCATTTACATAGGTGTATAGCTTGGATTTCATCCTGGACTCAGTGATATTTTTTTATTTCCTTTATCTAGAGATTTTTTTTTTACAAAAATCAATAGTTATTCCAATAACTTAATGGGTTGTTGTTGTTTTTTTTTTTTTACAAAAATCAATAGTTATTCCAATAACTTAATGGGTTGTTGTTGTTTGTTTTACAAACTATGGGAAGTTCTAGACCCAGAAAGCTAATCTTTCCAAACTTCTTATTGCATCTGCAGAGGGCGAAGAAGACCCCACAACCACCACTACCACCCAGTCAACAACAGCAACGACCACGACGGAGAGGACAACGTCAACGACACCACGTGCACTTGGTGTGAGAGGGACACTGGAGCCTGGTGAAGGATTTGATGCAGCTGTTGCTCTAATGCCGTCTATTGTCTTAAATACATTGGTTAGCCTCGTTTTGGTGCGGCTGTTGGGATAAGCCTTCGATGAGCTTTCGGTGCTAAACGCAGACACCAACGGAAGCAGAGTAATGGCGGGGCGTCAAAATTTCAGAACAAACCTATCATGAGTGACACGCCGTCTTCCCATCTTAACTGGCTTTTTCACTGTCTAGCTGCACTCATTCCGTACGGCACAACAACTACAAAGCCAGCGTACAGAAATGGCTGAACATGATACCCTTTCAGCGTGTGTCTGTGTCCAGAAAAAAAGCCTAATTTTCATAGTTAGTTACTGAAACTGAAGTGGGTTGATTGGCAATATAGAGGTTGATATTTGTACATAATTCAGCGTCGTAAATATGCATGTACATTGGATTATCATTAATATATAAAAGGGGTGCTTTAAAAAATCTTTATTACTAAACATTTCTGGATACAAAATTCTAAGAACTTAATTTCTTTTTAAACGTCCATTATCACCTTGTCGACTTCATTTTCATACACTTTTTCAATGCTTATTTTGTCTATGTATAAAACTCTTTATGTGTATTATTGTGGATGATTTTCTTTATGGATACAGCAGCAGTTTACTGTATTTGGCTCACGTATGTTTATAAAAATACAGTGGTTTCTGTTAAGCTTAATTTGTAGGTAGCCTAAAGCACGTAATTGACACCGATTTGATTGTATTGAGAAGCTAGTACATATCTGAAAACTAGAGGCATGACATAAGAACGAAGCTCTACTTAAATATCGTGGTTGGAAACCGGGTCTCTTTCAGGCATCTCTCCGGGTTGGAGGGGGGGGGGCACTGGGGGAAAGTCAAGTCCCCCCCCCCCGGAGAAAAATGGATAAAAACAATAGAACGATTATATTTTTTTAAAATAATGAAAAGATTAAATTGTTATTATTAAAAAGTTTTAAAAAGAATAGTATCTGGTGCATTTATCCGATTACAACTAGTAGAATTAAGAACGAAGCTCTACTTAAATATCGTGGTTGGAAACCGGGTCTCTTTCAGGCATCTCGCCGGGTTGGAGGGGGGGGGGCACTGGGGGAAAGTCAAGTCCCCCCCCCCCGGAGAAAAATGGATAAAAACAATAGAACGATTATATATTTTTAAAATAATGAAAAGATTAAATTGTTATTATTAAAAAGTTTTAAAAAGAATAGTATCTGGTGCATTCATCCGATTACAACTAGTAGAATATATTTAATATTGTTACGCTCGATATATATGATTATCCTTATATTTAAGGCTAATCTTGTTAAAGGCTTATAGTATTCGATTATAAATCCATATTGGCAGCTCTTGGTTATAAGCCGAAGTCTTACTTCCTGTTGTTGGCGTATATCGATATTTTTAATCATTTTTTTTTTTCGGTTGCAATTTCACAAATTTAAATACTTAAATAACATAGTATTAAACTACCCTTACATCAATATCAAGGATTACAATTCTAATAATAGTATCAGAGATAACGCAATCTTTTTCCAAATTATATTTCATTATTAAAGCATTACTTTTAAAATTGGGATACGTGCTAATGGCTGCGACTATTCGTACCCGGGTACCAGAAGTGAGAGGTTGGGATTTAAAAAAAACTATTTAAAATATTATTGTTGGGTTTGTAAGACCAAATGAGGTATGAAATGAAAGATAATTGAAAGGACTAAATGTTTGTAAACTTACTTCTTCAGTAAAAAAAAAATAAACTACCACAAATGAAATCCGAATAGCTCATGGTACCCCGGTACGAATAGTTACTTCGTATATAAAATGGAAACTTACAAATTGAGAGATATATTTTTATATTAAGAATTTAAGGAACGCATAAAAATAGTGCACATTTCATTAATTATAATATCGAAAACATAATTAATTTGTTTTTTCTTTAAATGTTCTACGTTTGTAACGTAGAAGAGGTTTTTTAAAAAAAAAAAAAAAAAGTAGCCTATAATTATTAAATCCAGCCACTTTCGTCTTTTTAATATTAGAACATAAACAAAATGTCCCATCTATGTGCAATGATTTTTTTTTTCAAATACCATTTTTTCAAAATGAGAATCTATCAGAAAGCTAAAAAGAAAATACGATTTTTGTGAACTAACATTCCAATTATCACGCCAATTCCATTTTTTGTTAGTTTTTTTTTTGGTTTTTTTTTT